AGTTTTACGCCTGGATTGAGCTAGCCTGCGAACCGCAGACCTATTTCAGGTCGTCGCTTCTCAATACGTGTTGCGGTTCGAATGCTAGGGTTTAGCAACTGTATAAAGAGGAGTCATAAGAGTGACGTCATCGTAGTGACCTCTTTTATACGGACACTTTGCCCCGTCCCTTCGGTGTCCGTATTAGAGAGTTTCGACTGTATGCTCTGGTCTTCATCAAATTCTCCCAACTTATTCAGAAAAAGTACAGTTGGCTCTACAAAAGAGACAGGGGCACCCAGTGACGGTTTCCTCCTAGGCTTTGAAAACACTTTTTAGGCTGGCCATAGTACTTTTAGATCTCTAGAAATGCATTCAAAGCGGCGCTATAAAATATGTGCCTTATCCTACTCGTTTTCGAAAATTTTAGATACAGTTTAACGTATTGCGAAAGTGAGGATTTTCTGATTCCTCTCTTAATCACGTTTTTGACTCCGAAAGTTTTAGGTATCCTTTTTTGTACGAAAAATAGCTTGAACTGGGCGGTGAAATGTGCAAAAGTTAACTTCAGAAAATCGTATAGGAAATTTTATGCATTTGTATTTAATAAGCTTCGAAATTTGTACATGAATACAATGATCGTCTAGAAATCAGTTTGACGGTCCTCAAGTAATTGAAAATTCTAGGCAATATTTGCCTCCTCGGACATGTATTTTACAGAAAACAAGTCATTGGATGCCTCTAAAAAAGAAAAGAATGTGGCCGTCATTTGTGGCCATGGAAATGTGGCGGCCGCTTTGTATGTAGACACACTGAATTCTGCAAAGCAAGAGAGAATTCTCTCTTTTGCAAAGCTGATCGTACTACGTGAAAATTAACTTTGCAAGACATCAACACGACACCGAAAAAACCAAAAACAGAGCGGGGTCGTAGCCTTGCGGTCTTCTGCAGTTTAAATGTCAAATTATTGGTAACCTGAGATCAGGGGGCGCTCAGCTTGCTAGCAGGTAGACTTGCCACAAGTTGAGCTCAAAATTTTCCACGACGAGCGCAAAGCGCCAGCTAGAAATTTTTAATGTTTTACGAGAAGCGAAGGACTTTGAGAAAGTCTAGCTCAGTTAGCGGTTGTAATATGACACCTTTTACTACCACAGGCAGCCCAGTCGTAGTGTGTGTCAGCATGGACAAGATCGACAAAATTGGATCTATCGGAGCTAGACTAAGGGCCTGTTTACAAGGATATAGGGTTACCCAAGCGGGTTAAAGGTTGCTCGCGTTTACAAGCAAATTTCACAGGCTGGGTTACCCCTGCCTCGTACCCAGACGTCTCTCTCTCAAAGAAAATGTGCGCACACAAAGGAAGGCGGAAAGGAGATTCCCATGGTCCCTTGCGGTTCATCACCAGTCACTCGCGTTTCGCGCTCGCCTCTACCATGCGAAAAACGAAGCGCCCGAGGAGGAGGCTGAGGTTACCCTATCACCCGGGTCAACTTTACCAGCTTTGCTGACGCGTTTCGTCATGCGTGACATTCTTTGCAGCGGTCCAAAATTTGAAATAATCTTGAAATTCACTATAGAAAACACGTTAAATTCACGAAAAAAAGGGAAAATATTATCATCGTAGACAGACTACCTTTTGTTTTTCAGATGTTTATAGTTAGGCTCTGAAATGGGATAATACCGTTAAAATTGACGCGATTACTGGTCACGCATGAAGGCGGAAAGTTGACCAGGGTAGGCGAGTTATCCCTAGCTGAGTGTTTACAAGGCAGGTAGGGTAACCTTCTTGCTTGTTATCCTACCCTAGCGGTAGGATAACCCTACCTGCCTTGTAAACACGTCGTGTGAAAAAAGAAGAAATATGAGAGTGCTAGGGTAACCTTCTTGCTAGGGTAACCGCAGCAGCAGGGTTACCCTCCCTCCTTGTAATAAACTGTGTCTAAGATCAGAGTCGACGATATTCGACTGGAAAGGAATTTAAAAATAATTAAATATATCTTTACTATTTATCGCTTTGTGCATTGACTTGTCCTGATTTATTTTCTCCAAGAAATTTCTCTATTTCTTATCGAACGAACCTTATTTCAATAGACAATAACAATAGCTGCTGTAACCTTTGCAATTCTTAGAGATTACCTTTTATATACCTATTGTTTTATTACACAATTTATACATGCTACATATTTCAATTGTATATACATTATTATTATTATTTCTTATTTGTAAATAATTTTTATTTTGTGTCCCCAATTAGTTGTGAAAACTAAATACATTGACACATTAATAAAGCTTTTACTTACTTACTATTCTACTTGTTACAGACACGAACTGATCGGACAAACTGTGCTGCAGATTACAGCGCCCCTAGCAAACCCCTTCTTCAAAAACTCGGCATTTTTGAAATTTATAGTTTACCTCTCCCGTTTTCAAAAATTTTATTTCAGACTGGAAGTACAAATCCATAATTATTCTACTGATATGCCGAGTAATACAATCCTCCTGTTGGCAGAACAAACATGAAAAGAAGCTAAAAGAAAATGGAACGTATTTTATAAACTGGGCCCTAGAAATCCAAGGCTTTGTGATTTTAGTAGTCAACTCCTTGCCTTTGACATTTTTAAAGGGAAAACTGGTGTCGAAAATTCCTTTGCATTTTTCTTTTAATACTTCGTAAGCTGTATTTGCATCTTCAGCTTCGTTAACGACTGAAATGCCAATCAGTGCTACGCAACACTGTTTTAAATTCTTCTCTCCTTTTTTTACTTGTATATCTTATGACAAAGCGTCTTTTAAATAGATTGAGATTGAGATTGAGAGTCATTTTTCGGGTTCGGACTTGAATAAAGAATCAATTTGCGTTTTTAATTCTCATCCTTGAACAGGGACGGGGGTTTCATCAAGAGAACATAAACGGGTCCCACAGTTTCGTTAAGACCCTGGGCTGCACGCATCTATCCGAAACCTAAAATATAGATTCATGAGCCAGGGCTAAAAACGTACCTCTCGTTGACTAGATAAGCTTAGATACTTATAAACAAAAAAAAAATAATAAAAAAAAATCGTGTAATACTAAACGTCGACGGCAATGGTACGGCAACAAATCAATAATTAGCAAAAAACAAACAAACAAACAAACAAACAAACAAACAAACAAATTTGCACGTGTAGCACACTCTTTTGTACATTTCTTTGCCTTTGTTTTGCACCATTAAAACGTGAAACTTCCTGGTTACTCATTACTTTTTTAATGGAGGAATTGTCGTATGTGCTCACCAAAAAATTGTTGCTTGTGTTCCTGTTCGCCTTTATTTCTTTCTCTGCCACTAATTTTCACCTTGCTGATTGCTAGCATTACTCATTTTCGCGTCGCTGCTATGAAATTTTCATGTTTTTCTTCCAACGAAATTAGTTGCCTTTGCTTTTAATCACTCGTTCTAGGTCTATCTCTGTTATCCACGTGATGAGCCTAGACATCAAAAATAACGTCGAAAAATTATTGCTGTTTTTTTTCTCTAAAAGTCCGGGTGGTCATGCGATTTCCCGCCAAAAACACCTTGAGTTGCCTGTGGTGTCATACCTGTTTATTGAGTTATTGGTATACCTGTGTTGTAGACGGAAGGACGGTCGGGCGTACCGTCAAGTGATTACCAAAATTTCTCGAATACATAGATAACCAAACTTTCCCAGGCTGCGCTCGCGCGCTTCGCGCCCCCGGTTTCGTTTGCCAGGCTGAAGAGGTTCCTTTTTAGTATGATCGTTAACAACTTCAGGAAAGGAGTTATTTCAAAAGACCAAATTAAACTTAATTGCGCTACTTCGGCGGGGCTGTGAAACGCAAGTGAAACGTGAAAACTTTCATTTGCGACTTTCACGTTCCCAAAAATGCAATTTGTTTCATCACATAATTTTGCATAAGCTTTCATTTCAACTTCTCCTAGGATTAGCAATCGTGATCATGATGTGTAAGGATGAAGGATGCAAGGTCAACGGCTTAACGTAACACACAGGCTATTGTAGCTTCTCTGCCACTTTGGCTTTGAAAGAAGAAATTGTTTACATGCCGCAGAACATTTTTGAACGGTTATTGAAAGTGTCTCAACTAAAAAAGAAATTCAGTGGTAAGAGTATCCGAACTAGAACTCGGAGGGTTGTTAGTTCGATTCTCACCTGGAGCTCGGAAAATTTTTCGCAGCTTTCTGGTGTTTGAATTCTCCTTCTTCTTTAACTCATAACTTGGAATCGAACCCGAGCCTTACGACCAGGAAACTGGACCGAGTAAGCTGTCGCAAAGAATTCTGGGACTGTTACTGGGGACAGGGAAAACAAATTGGCCATCAGGGAGTTTAAGCAACGACGACGTCGACGTCAACAAGAACGGCAAAAGATTGGCAAAAAACAAATTTGCACGTGCATCATGCCTTTTTGTACATTTCTTTGCCGTCCCGCCCTCAAAGTCTCTCTTACACAGGGTGGGAACTAATTCGAGCCACTTCTAAGACCTTTTAAGGGTTGAATGTTCATCCGCATTCACTATGTTCACATAGACCATAATGCACCTCGATTATCCCCCCAAATTTTGCATGACCATTGTCTTCGATTTCTCCTGGGACGACTGTAATACCCAGGAGAAAATGGAAGCAATCGTTCTGCAAAATTTTGGGGGGTAAGCAAGGTGCATTATGGTCTGTGTGAAAATGGTGAATACAGCTATTTCGAGAGAGGTTGTCGGAAAAACTGCTCGCGACAATCCCGAAAGGTATTGTGCGTGGTTTTGTATTCACTGTTTTCCAAAGAAATTCGAAAGAATGGCACGAGAGGCTATGGACGTATGTTTGCGAGTGCTAAAGGAAAGCAACAAAAGTAGCTTCGACAGCTTCAGTGTCAGAAACAGTGTATTGATCATATCCCATAGTTACCTTTTGGGGTTGTCACGTGCACATTTTTTTCCGACAACGTTTCTCGAAATAGCTGTACGTAATAAGGTACAGGCGACAATAACTTGTTGAGAGATCAGAATTCAAGCTTCTTTAATGAATCACTGAAGTAAGAAGGGTTTCAACACAACTTTGAAGGCAATGGTGGGAGAAATTACAAATATTTATAACTTTAAAATGCAAAGTTGAACACTGTAAAACCTTCCTCTCAGCGGTCATTTTGGAAGAGGAAATTTGAAAACAAACTTTTAGTCATTCAAGTTGACGAAACTCTTGGCTTTGCTTAAAGGATCCACTTCCTTGTGGTCCTGAGAGATCAACCGTGTTGTTCACCTTGTTGTAGCCTGAGTTCTAGTCGTACTTGTAGAATCCTTCTCCAGTTTTCCTTCCCAACTTGTTTCGAGCCACAAGGTCGTTAAGAATTTCGCTCGGCTCAAAAAGCGGCACATCTGGGTATTTTTCATGCCAACCTGAAATATGATAACGACGAGAAAATGAAGACGATATCCAAAGGTTTGTAATTTATAGCATAGAATTTTAAAAATGCAGGTGTAGACAACCTTCCTAAAAATTATGAGCAGAGAGAGAAAGTGTGAAATAAACAGGGAAGAAAACAGTTAAAAGGCGAGAAAGCAAAATTTTACGGCGGGATGTTTGCTGTTTTTTGGACAAACGTGTAAGGCCTCAGGAACACTAGAAATTCACTTTTCCTCGCCCCATTCGACTCGCTTGCTACGCCGGCGCGCGTAAAAGGCGCCGCTGCCAAACATTAGGGACCTTACGATCCGACAACGGCGACGTTCATGAAAACGTCGCTGAAAAACAGACTTCGCATCATTTTGACTTTTTCGCGATTATCCCAATTAACCCTGTTACTTAAAAAAAGGGGATTTTGGCTGGAGCTGAAGAGAGGGGAACGCGCTCAAGTTCGGACAGAGATGGTAGAATTTATCGCCTTGCCGTTCCAGTTCCCAAGTAAACTTAAAATTTGGACATTTTACGTCGTAGTTGTGTTTGACTTTCCCGTTGCCGTCGTCGTCGTGTTTTCGTAAGGTCCCTATTTCCCCGAACTCGTACAAGTGAGCCTGATCGGAGGCTAGTTTTCCAAGGAACTATAGACGAAAAACATGGGAAAAGTCTCCTTATTATTTTGAACATGGAATAGTTGTTTTGTCCTGAGGAAAATTTCTTCAAGGACGGCGTTTGCCAGTGCAATTAATTCAAGGAAATGTCGATGGTTTCATGGAAAATTTCGTATTATCTGCGCTGGCAAATACGAAAGTACTTGCGCATTTGCCTACTGAGAAAAATTGAACCCAAAAAGAAGCGACGTTGAGCCTACGCATAAATCATAAGCTTTGCAAGGCAACAATATGACGCAACTTAAATAGAATCCGAAGGGCAGAGAAGCACTTTCGTCTTACTTTGGACGTGACTACAAAACATACCGTCAATAATAAACTTTGTCGTGTCGAGTCCTACATAATCTGCCAGTTCTATTGGTCCCATTGGATAACCTAAAATTAGAAAAGTAAATAAAAACAAAAGTTTACTTGAAAATTACCAGAAAGGGTTAAAAATAAGTTAAGAAACTTGGAGCGCAATTTGATGGGCGATGGGGTGAGAGGGTGGGGGGGGGGGGGGGTATTGGGGCGGGGGGGGTGGGAACAGAGGGTTGTTTCCAGGTTGGAAGGGGCAACCGGCTGACCCCAAGCAACACACGATCTCGTGTGCCCGCCTCTGCTTGAAAAAAAAAAAAATATTAGTCCTAAACGAAAGGAGGGGGTGTTAAGTGCAGATTTTGGTGTCACTTAGGTGTTCAGGATGGCAAGCCAATATTTTTCGAGAAGCATATCTGCCCCCCTTTACTTGAAACTACCCTCCCCCTTCTGGGGTTCGCATGGTGTGCCTAAGGGGTCAAATAGAGCCTGAACCACGAATTCTAATTTTTCGACAAGCACAACTGCCCCCCTCACTTGAAAGTACCCCTTCCCCCTCCGGGCTTCGTATGGTGTTCTTAGGTGTCAATAGAGACTGAGACAGGGCCATTTTGGTCTAATTCTAATTTTCCGACAAGCATAACTGGTTTTCACAAGGAAGTACCCAGCCCCTCCACCCTCCCGGGGCTCCGAAATTTCTCTGATGTGCCTGTCACGTATTTTTATTACGAAAGATACCTCTATACGTGGTTTGCAGTCGACTGTCTAGTAGGAACTGATCTTATGGGAAAAAACCCACAAATTTCACAAAATGACGTCTTTCACATGAAATTTTCAGAATTTTACATTTTTTTTCTCGGGCTCCCATGAGAAATAGTCTTTGGGTGTTATTGACCACTCCAGAAAATACCATAACATACCATAATGCCCTTTGTTTGTCACCCCAAAATTGCGTTGTTTTCAGTTTCTCTTGGGGCCATTTTAACTGCCAAGAGAAACTGAAGACAATGCTTATGCAAAATTTTGGGGCGACAAACAAAGAGCATTATGGTATGTTATGGTATTTTTGGAGTGGTCAATTACAGATAACTAATTATATCTATAGTCCTTGAAAAATGTAAAAAAGAATACGAAATTGTTTAAATTATTCTGGTACAAGGTTTTTGTCCACTGAGAATCAAAATTACTCAATTTCCTGATGGATTCTGTCTTAATGTCTACATTGACGTGGAAAACAGAGAGTCAAAAACAAAAGAGATCAATTTTGTTAGAAGAAAAACATGAAAGTTTTATAGCGGCGGTGAGAAAATGAGAAATGCTAGCGGCCAGCAAGGTGAAAATGAGCGGCAGTGAAAAAAATAAAAGTGAACAGGAACACATACAACATTTCCTCAATAAAACGTGTAATTAGGAAGTTTCTGGAAGTTTCACGTTATAGTCGTGCAAAACAACGGCAAAGAAATGTACATAAAAAGTGTGCTGCACGTGCAAAGTTGTGTTTTTGCTAATTAGACCTACTGACTTTTTTCGGCTGTTTTTGTTGCCGTTGCCGCTAAGCATTACACCATTTAATATTTTGTTTGAGTAAACTATAGATGTTAACGAGAGCTTCGCTTTTAGCCCTGGCTAAATCTATATATTATATAATCTAATATGTAATATAGTCTGTATAAAGACTTTTCTTATATTTTGATTGATTTGGGATACGTCAGGGGTAGAAGGTTTTACGATAAACTAGACTCGCCGAAAAGCGAGTTTAACTGGGCTGCCATATTTAACCTTGCTGCCGACAACTGCGTGACATAGAAGGGAAATCTGTGACCGTAAATGTAAAATATAGATTTAGCCAGGGCTAAAAGCGAAGCTCTCGTTGACCAGTTACTTATAAACTTGTAATGCTAAACGGCGACGGCAATGAGAACGACAACAAAATCAATAGATCTAATTAGCACACACAAAAAAACAAAACAAAACAAAAAAATTTGCACATGCAGTACACTTTTTTGTACATTTCTTTGCCCTTGCTTTGCACTACTAAAACGTCAAACTTCCTACTTACACATTACTTTTTATGGAGGAATTTTTGTATGTGCTCAGCAAAAATTTCGTTGCTTGTGTTCCTGTTCACTTTAATTTTTTCACTGCTGCTCATTTTCACCTTGCTGGCCGCTAGCATTTCTCATTTTCTCACCGCCACTATGAAATTTTCATGTTTTTCTTCCAACGAAATTCGTCTCCTTTGTTTTAAATCACTCGCTCTGGCTCTTTCTCTCTTATCCACGTGAGTGTAGACGTAAAGAATAAGGTCGAAAAAGACTCGACCTTGTTGTTGTTTTTTCTGTCTAAAAGTCCAGGTGGCCATGAGATTTCCCGCCAAAAACACCTCGAGTTGCCTGTGGTGTCATACTTGTTAACTGAGTTATTTTACATTGGTATGCCTGTGGTGCGGACGGTCACGTGATTACCATAATTTCTCGGATGGATGGATTACCAATCTATGTATTCTCTATTTTCCAATTCCCCATAATACACTCTGTTTGCCCCTCAAATTTTGCATAAACCATTCATTTTCCCAAGAGCATTTTAAGACAATAAGTTATGCAAAATTTGGGGGGCAGACAGAGTGTATTATGGGGAATTGGAAAATAGTCAATGGGGCTCCACTCGCGAGCGCGTGGAGCTCCGCAATAAAGAAGATCTGAAGACAACCACATCGAGAGTGATTATTTGTCGGAAACCCTTTCACAACATCCTAGACTGTACAAAATTATTGGACTGCATGAAAACGACAACAACAGACAGCAGACAGCGAACAGTTTTTAAGAGAAAACAACCGACTAAAAAACCCATCACGAATTCAACCGAGACTGATAGAGATGATCAATAGACGATAACGGGTTTTGTTTTCTACCGTAACTTGACTCTGGGTCAACGTGCTGATAACACGAACTTAAATTTTATTTTGTTCGAGCGATTCATCTCGAAGCTTAATGTAATTGACCTTAATATATAGTTAAAACCCTACATATACTTTCCCTCCTCACATTTACAGTGTACGTATTCGGAACACTTTCAGTAAAATACGGGTTGTATATGTTGTGGTTCATTTTTATCCTCGGTTTAAATTTTATTTTCTTTTGTTTTGGGGTATGGTAATATATGATAATGAGTTTGAAACAAAAGAAAATAAAATTTAAACCAAGGATAAAATTGAACCACAACATATACACAAAAAGGTGTTGAAGCGAGCCGTGAACTTTCAAAGTTTATCGTGCATTAATCGTGCTCGTTCGACTGTTGAATAGGCGGAGACACAGAAATAAGGAGAAGCATAACACTCGATCGTGCACGAATTTAATCGTACAGATACAAACAAAAGCAAAAACTCTGGGCCACATTGAGAACAACTGTAAGCTCAATGATGCTAAGTCCCTGAAACTTGTACAGTACTCTTTTTCATCAACGTGGCATTTCAAACTTCCGGTGAAGCTTTGCGTTCTCGAAGCTTCGCCGGTTATTTGCCCCCTGGCCAATGAGACTATGAGATAAACTTGAGTGCAAAATTCTCAAAGTTCCTGTTCGTCGGACGAGTCTTCTTTACCCTTATCCGAAATTTTTGGACCTCCAAAAGGCGTGTGTTGCTTGCATTAAAGAACAGACTCTGCGAAAATGGACAAACATGGTTTATGGATCACGCAACGCCCTTTGGGATACTGGGTAAATAACTGATAGTGTTCATTTTTTGACACTACTCTACCCATTTTATGAACTGGATCTGCCTTACAGGCAGCCCAGTTAACTAAGTTAACAATAACGTGCTGGCTCTATATCTTTATTTAAAAATATCGCGCGAGTGATCAGCATTGGTTCCACGCGAGATGGGCGCGTTTGTCGAGAAAGCGATAAACATTCCTGTAAACAACTTGATATTGGTCATATTGTTTAGCTTAAAAATTATTTGATTGTTTCACACAACAGGTAAGGATTGTGTTGGAAAAAAAGTCTACTTTACTTGACCAAAAAATTATGAAGTATTCATTTAAACTACTAAAACCAAGCTCAGTTCCGTCCCAACCTGTATCAATGAACCAAAAAGAAGTTATATTGCTTTGGGGCAAAAACAGTTTACAATGAGACGAACGTCTGTATCTTCATATGAAAATTAACACAACAGTCGTGACTTTTTAGTGTTAACGTTCATCACGAAATAGTCAATTTGCCACGTAAAAAACTGAAAAGCTTTTCAGCCGTTTTAAGGGGCATGCACACCTAACCACTATTTCCTCCCAATATTTAAACCTTTAAAACCCCAAGAGTGACCAACATCCAACTTCTCCTTACAGTATCAATGCATTATCAAGAGAAAAAGTTATGAGAATTCATAAAATGATCACAAAAGGGAAAATGCTTTGATCTTTTATCCAATTTTCCTGACTAATTCTCTAAGGAAATGTATGTAGATCAGTCTGGAGAATTTATATATTGATGCTGGGGCTTAAAGCGCTTTTTAGGCTATTACAGTTCTTTTAGACCTCTAGAAATGCATTTGAAGCGATGCTATAAAATTTGTATGTGTTCGGTCATCCTAGGCTTTGTGAATTTACAAGCACTTCGGTATTGTTTTGTTTAAAATTTTAGACGTGTTAAATTTAAAGCTTTACGAAATTGAGAATTTCTCTGATTCCTCTCTCCATCTCATTCTCAAATCCGAAATTGTAGGTCTCCTATTTCTACGAATTACATGTACGGAGACTTTTTATGGTACATGTTTTCAGTCTATTGCATGCTAAGAGTAAAAAGCTGAAAAAGTAAAGAGGCTTGTTGACAAAACCGTTTCGGTTAGACCACTTACAACATATTTGACTATTGTACGTAATATTTCATGCTTAACAAACATTTTTAATAACCAGAGCTTTGTGTGTGCCTCACTTCAATTTTCCTAGAAGCCAAAATAATGCTTCAATCCGTTGACCCATGAGACCTCGTATTATGTCTTTGGCGGAAGAATGAAAAGAACGTTTACAAGCGTCACGACATCGAACGCTTGATCGCGCCGAGGGACATCGCGAGTATCGAACACTTGACTAAACAGCATGCGTAAGGTATCTTTCACTCATCTCAGTCTAGCGATTTAAAAAGCAGCTCAAACATGAGGCGATTACATCAACATCCCCATGCCTTGTTAATCCTTATACCTCTAAATTGAGGTTTAGAGACAGGCAATGGATTATATTCATTGCTATACATCGGGAACTTCAGTTGTTCTTTTGTTCCAAATGTTTACTAATTCAGAAACATTTTCTTTCTTCTCGTCTTCCTCAGGGTGCTCTTGATCTTGAGAGCTCCAGTTTGAATCCAGTTTTTCTCCATTTTGTAACGACACATTCGGGGGACTTTCGTCTATCGAAATGACAGTTCGCGAAATCAAATCTTCGGAATTCTGCGAATTCTCAGCGTCGCTGTGAGAATCTGTTGAAGGCAGCGAGGACACATGCACTGTCACGCTACCTTTTTCTGGTTCAATTTCCTCCTTGCGCTCTCCTTGCCCTCCGTCTAAGTGATCTGGCGCTGAGTATAACTCGTTCTCGTTGTGCACCACGCTTGATAAACTGCCAATCCCACTGCTTTCACTCTCGGAACTTTCACGGGCCCAGCTCAAGCTACCCCCTCTTGGTCTTGTGTACCGCGTAGCATCCCAACTCTCTCGTCTGTGTGTTATACTCTCGGGTAGCGGTTGAAAACTGAACTGAACGGGGCTGTAACCCGATTTGCGGAAGGTAGGTTTATCGGATCTCCTCATAAAGCTTGGTAAACCAGAAACAGAATGAATACCACTCTCAGACGACTCGCTCTCGCCGCTCGTATCCGAATGAAATGATCCCGATCTTTCATTACGCGCGCCATCTTCTCGAGAAACTGAACCCTGACGCGGCAACTCGAAGCTGTGGAATGGCCGCGGCAAGCTTCCCGCGAAAGAGTGACGGTAAAAATTTGGAACGGTGCGTTTTGCCGCTCTCTCTCTTCTCCTCACAACCTCTTCATTACTCGAGTCAGACTCGTGATTCTTTGTTCCATCCGCACGCTTTGGCTCATCTGCAATCTCCGATTCTTTAGTTCCGACATCAGGAATTCCTTGGCTTTTATCTTCAGCTCCGTCAACGGTGGAAATCACATCGGAGGCGGGCTCACCTGCGTACGATAACGCGACGGTTCCGGACCCAAGAGGCATTTTATTTTCACCGTTTAAAACGCCGTTTGTTATGGACGTTTGTTGACTCTTCAAATTGCCGTTCTCTGCCTCTGGTTGTTCCACTTTTTTTGTAAGCCTCGTGATCTCTGTCTGCAGTGTCGTGTTTTCTTCTTGTTCATTAATAACTTTTTTCTCGGCCAGGCCTGATCGATCCAAAGCTTCTCCGAGTTGAGTTTTCACGCTCTCTTTCTCTGCTTCACTCTCTGATAACCGCTTTCTTAGCCGCAACACTTCATCATTTTCTTCTTTCAGAACACGCGTTGCTTGGTCTCTTACCTTTATTAACACGTCAAAAAGACGCTGCAGAGATTCTTTTCGCGCCCTCCTTTCGGAAAACTGATCAGCGACGGCATCCATGCTTGGTACATAGTCGCTATCTGTTTGCTCAGGCAGTACAGGAGTTGTATCAGCTGATGCTTCTTCGCTACCGTCCATTACAACATCGACACTGTCATCTTGAGATCTAAGAGGCAAACAATCATCTGCGACGGCATCTGAGCTTGTAACAGCATCACCTCCATTTACATCTTCCATTTGTAAAGGACTTTCATGATCATCAACATTCACCTCTTCCACTGCGTTGCCGTAAGAAACAACAGCATTATTCTGTTCTCCAGATTCAAGCTGTGAGGCACAGCTTGCAGCCTCTGAAACATCTCTCGAGTTCTTCGCGGGTTGTTCACTGATTTTCAGTTGGTCATCCCCGCATTTGCCGTTAAACTCGAAACAACATTTTGGTTTCAGTCTTTCTCCAATTGCTCCATAGTTTCATTCGCTGCCATTGTTGCCTTTAAGCGTCTACTATACCTGCCAACCTTTTCTGAGATATAAGCGTGAGAATTATATCCTGGGTGTGCTGGGATTTTTGAAGACGACACGATCATTTCCGAAGATTCCTGAAGAAGTCCGAAGTCTTCCGAAGACGTCCGAAGTCATTAGGTCATTAGGACGCGTATAAACGCGAGCTCGCTCCCAATGCTTTTCACTTCAAAAATCAGAGATCGTAAGGAAGGTCATTTATTCATCTTACACAGGGTTTTCGTTCCTTACATGGGTCTGAGTTAACATATTTTTGGAAGTTGTGTAAAGCAAGACGGCAACAACTCACATTTTTCAATCAGGCGTGAGAAATTGGCCCGCAAGCGTGAGCCGGCGTGAGATAAGTTAACAATAACGTGCTGGCTCTACATCTTTATTTAAAAATATCGCGCGAGTGATCAGCAATGGTTCCACGCGAGATGGGCCCGTTTGTCGAGAAAGCGATAAACATTCCTGTAAATAACTTTATATTGGTCATATTGTTTACCCAAGAGAGGATAAAGGGGACAGAGAAGGCATCCCCAATACACACCCTATTCCATAGGTAATTCGTCTCGAGTTACTTTTAGAATCGGGATAAAGTTACCTCGCGCGCTGCGTGGATGTTTCGTGGAGGTTTCGCGATTCAGTCAAGTGATACTGGTCAGCGGATACCTTGTTTTGACAGCTGTCAATTGATCACAACATTGTAAAAACTTGCAAGAGGTGACAGGCCGCACATCTTCACCGGCGTGAAACCTTTGAAACCTTTTACATATTGCTCCATTGAGGAGACCTATTTCAGGGGATCTGACAGTTTAAAATTTGAACGATGATATCGCTTCTATATAGCGGACCAAGATACGGCTAGGTACAGCTTATGTTCAGCAAGGGAAAATTGTGTAAGTGGAGCAGAATCTTTTAAATGTTCAACAGACAATTTATTCAGTTCGCGCGTATTCCTGTTGAATTTGTAGTCCGTTTATGAGATATGTCTACTCAAAAATATAATAATTTTTCCATAGCTGCTGTTATGTGAGAGTAACTGCTTTTAATATCTCCGTAAAGTTTAGGTTTACGCGATCTCAGAGAACAATGTTCAGCTGTACACAGCACGTAGTCTTTTTAAAAATATATCCAGATCTGACACTGGTTTTGGGTATTTATCACGTCTAAGCATGATTTAAATACATTATGAGGCTGTGTCCTTTGAATGTCGTCTTAAAACTCAATCGCTTTGTAAATGTCACTTGTAGGTTTAATATCGGAGGAGAGTATTTTAAAGCTCAATATTTTTCAATACCATTAGCATGTTGTTTTTTTACCAAATCAATTGACTAGCTTCTTTGTGCCACTACATAATGTGTGTAGTTAAATATAAGTTTACAAGCAAAACCAATATGTGTGTCAGTTTTCCTGTGTTCCGATCCCAAACTAGCTAGAAAGTATGAGACTGAACATTGATCGCGATCTAGTAAAATAATTAACTGGTCAGCGGACAGCTTCCAAATAAATCACGTCACCTCAATGAGTTGACACATGAGCTCGCGATACGGTCATGGGATATTAGTCAGTGGCTATCCTGTTTTGACAGCTGTCAATTGACCATATTCTGAATGTCCAATGTAAAAGATGTGGACTTGGCAAGACACGCCTGAGACACCCCTCCCTTCCTTTTGATAGTCTCCCCTACCCCACCCGTACAATCCGTAGACGCGTGCGCTCGGTCCATCACGTGACAACCAAACGAAAAGAGGTTGACCATAATCTATGAGTATGGGGCTCTGTCCCACGCGCGCTTCACGCGCGTGGGAGCCCCGCTAAAAATTATTTCATTGTTTCACACAACAGGTATAGATTGTGTTGGAGAAAAAGTCTACTTTATTTGACAAAAAATTATAAAGTATTCATTTAAACTACTAAAACCAAGCTCAGTGCCGTCCTAACCTGTATCAATGAACCAAAAAGAAGTTATATTGCTCTGGGGCAAAAACAATTTACAATGAGACGAACGTCTGTATCTTCATATGAAAATTAACACAATAGTCGTGACTTTTTAGTGTTAACGTTCATCACGAAATAGTCAATTTGCCACGTAAAAAACTGAAAAGCTTTTCAGCCGTTTTAAGGGGCATGCACACCTAACCACTATTTCCTCCCAATATTTAAACCTTTAAAACCCCAAGAGTGACCAACATCCAACTTCTCCTTACAGTATCAATGCATTATCAAGAGAAAAAGTTATGAGAATTCATAAAATGATCACAAAAGGGAAAATGCTTTGATCTTTTATCCAATTTTCCTGACTAATTCTCTAAGGAAATGTATGTAGATCAGTCTGGAGAATTTATATATTGATGCTGGGGCTTAAAGCGCTTTTTAGGCTATTACAGTTCTTTTAGACCTCTAGAAATGCATTTGAAGCGATGCTATAAAATTTGTATGTGTTCGGTCATCCTAGGCTTTGTGAATTTACAAGCACTTCGGTATTGTTTTGTTTAAAATTTTAGACGTGTTAAATTTAAAGCTTTACGAAATTGAGAATTTCTCTGATTCCTCTCTCCATCTCATTCTCAAATCCGAAATTGTAGGTCTCCTATTTCTACGAATTACATGTACGGAGACTTTTTATGGTACATGTTTTCAGTCTATTGCATGCTAAGAGTAAAAAGCTGAAAAAGTAAAGAGGCTTGTTGACAAAACCGTTTCGGTTAGACCACTTACAACATATTTGACTATTGTACGTAATATTTCATGCTTAACAAACATTTTTAATAACCAGAGCTTTGTGTGTGCCTCACTTCAATTTTCCTAGAAGCCAAAATAATGCTTCAATCCGTTGACCCATGAGACCTCGTATTATGTCTTTGGCGGAAGAATGAAAAGAACGTTTACAAGCGTCACGACATCGAACGCTTGATCGCGCCGAGGGACATCGCGAGTATCGAACACTTGACTAAACAGCATGCGTAAGGTATCTTTCACTCATCTCAGTCTAGCGATTTAAAAAGCAGCTCAAACATGAGGCGATTACATCAACATCCCCATGCCTTGTTAATCCTTATACCTCTAAATTGAGGTTTAGAGACAGGCAATGGATTATATTCATTGCTATACATCGGTAACTTCAGTTGTTCTTTTGTTCCAAATGTTTACTAATTCAGAAACATTTTCTTTCTTCTCGTCTTCCTCAGGGTGCTCTTGATCTTGAGAGCTCCAGTTTGAATCCAGTTTTTCTCCATTTTGTAACGACACATTCGGGGGACTTTCGTCTATCGAAATGACAGTTCCCGAAATCAAATCTTCGGAATTCTGCGAATTCTCAGCGTTGCTGTGAGAATCTGTTGAAGGCAGCGAGGACACATGCACTGTCACGCTACCTTTTTCTGATTCAACTTCCCCCTTGCTCTCTCCTCGCCCTCCGTCTAAGTGATCTGGCGCTGAGTTTAACTCGTTCTCGTTGTGCACCACGCTTGATAAACTGCCAATCCCGCTGCTTTCACTCTCGGAACTTTCACGGGCCCTGCTCAAGCTACCCCCTCTTGGTCTTGTGTACCGCGTAGCATCCCAACTCTCTCGTCTGTGTGTTATACTCTCGGGTAGCGGTTGAAAACTGAACTGAACGGGGCTGTAACCCGATTTGCGGAAGGTAGGTTTATCGGATCTCCTCATGAAGCTTGGTAAACCAGAAACAGAATGAATACCACTCTCAGACGACTCGCTCTCGCCGCTCGTATCCGAATGAAATGACCCCGATCTTTCATTACGAGCGCCATCTTCTCGAGAAACTGAACTCTGACGCGGCAACTCGAAGCTGTGGAATGGCCGCGGCAAGCTTCCCGCGAAAGAGTGACGGTAAAAATTTGGAGCGGTGCGTTTTGCCGCTCTCTCTCTTCTCCTCACAACCTCTTCATTACTCGAGTCTGACTCGTGATCCTTTGTTCCATCAGCACGTTTTGGCTCATCTGCAATCTCCGATTCTTTAGTTCCGATATCAGGAATTTCTTGGCTTTTATCTTCAGCTCCGTCAACGGTGGAAATCACATCGGAGGCGGGCTCGCCTGCGTACGATAACGTGACGGTTTCTGACTCAGGAGACATTTTATTTTCACCATTTAAAACGCCGTTTGTTATGGACGTTTGTTGAAGTTGACTCTTCAAATTGCCGTTCTCTGCCTCTAGTTGTTCAACTTTTTTTGTAAGCCTCGTGATCTCTGTCTGCCGTCTCGTGTTTTCTTCTTGTTCATTGATCATTTTTTTCTCGGCCAGGCCTGATCGATCCAAAGCTTCTCCGAGTTGAGTTTTCACGCTCTCTTTCTCTGCTTCACTCTCCAATAAGCGCTTTCTTAGCCGCAATACTTCATCATCTTTTTCTTTCAGAGCACGCGTTGCTTGGTCTCTCTCCTCCATTAACACGTCACATAGACGCTGCAGTGATTCTTTTCGCGCCTTCATTTCGGAAAACTCATCAGAGACGGCATCTAAGCTTGGTACATCGTCGCTATCTGTTTGCTCAGGCAGTACAGGAGTTGTATCAGCTGATGCTTCTTCGCTAACGTCCATTACAACATCAGCACTGGACTCATCTTGAGATCTAAGAGGCAAACAATCATCTGCGACGGCATCTGAGCTTGTAACAGCATCACCTCCATTTACATCTTCCATTTGTAAAGGACTTTCATGATCAGCAACATTCACCTCTTCCACTGCGTTGCCGTTAGAAACAACAGCATTATTCTGTTCTCCAGATTCAAGCGGCGAGGCACAGCTTGCAGCCTCTGTAACATCTCTCGAGTTCTTCGCGGGTTGTTCACTGATTTTCAGCTGGTCATCCCCGCATTTGCCGTTAAACTCCACAACATTTTGGTTTAAGTCTTTCTCCAATTGCTCCATAGTTTCATTCGCTGCCATTGTTGCCTTTAAGCGTCTACTCGTACTCTATCTTTCGGCGATAACAATCGGCGCGGTATTCACGCTCGTGATTACGAGTACATATTCCACTTAAAAGCAGCCTTCCTATTGGTGCTTTTCATAAAAGGGAAGCCGGCTAATGCAGGCTTCTGCAATTTTTTTGCCTGTTCTCACGGAAAAATCTTTTACTATGCCTTTGAAATAAATCTGTCCCCTTAAAATCCACGCCACGCCACGTCAAATCGAATCACTAACGTTTCAGTTTTGAAACCTTATTTATTGTCAATCCCGTCGTGTTTTGCATAATCGTGCCGAGTATCATTGAATCTTTTATTCAACAAACTGACTCCCTTTTGTTCGAAGGCGTTACGCCCTAACGGTTCATTTGTTTGTATTTAGAGCTCTTGAAAGCTCCTGGTTCTGTAACTAGTGCCCTGGTCTCTCACAACTGTTGATATTTTTCTCAAGAATCGTGTTGGTTTGGGTTAATTCTCGCTTCCGCCTAATCTTATCCTTGCACAAGGCAATCGCATTTCTTCAAGATCTTCATCACTAGAGCGACATTTTTGTGGCACATAGCTCGCTAATTCCTGAATATTTATTTCAATTCGTCTTTTGTCTTCAATGAGTGCTTTTACCATTAAGTCACTACATTCAAATGACTTTTCTTGAGTTTCAGCTGCAATTCACGCGCGTCCTCGCGTGCCTGCCGTATTGCAGCTTCCTCGCGTGAGAGAAGTGTACTTAGTATCGTTCTTTGTTTCTCTAACTCTGTTTTGCAGGTGGTGTACTTTGTTTGCAAATCTGCTGCGAGTTCACGAATTTTTCGAACTTCTCTGGAAATTTCTCTACTTATCTCAAGGAAAATCCGTCCTTCCTGAAAAGTTTGTTCACAACTTTTACAGCTCACCAAAGCCTCCAATCCGTTGATGCTGGGGCTGTAAAAAGGGTACTTATGGTAGCTTTTTTCACCCAGATTACTGCTCTTCGTATCGTATAATTCAGCAAGTAATGCGGTTTTATCCCGGAGAGATTCTTCAAGGAAGCTTTCAAGATGAGAATGTTGGTTTGCTTGCAATTTTATGAGCTCTTCTTCCAAATGTCTACTGTCGGTTTGAAACATGGAAGCGGCTGTGCCTTGCAAGCCTGCGGCGAGTTCCTCAACTTTAAGAAAATCATCGGCGGCATATTTGCTGTCACTTTCAAACAAGAACTGGTCCTTCCAATTTGCTTCCTTGCGGCTAACCTCTTCCTTAACATTTCTAGCGTTGCTTATGAGGAAAAGAAATTTAGCACTTTCTAGAACTTTTTTCTCGGCAGTTTCCTTCGTTTCACTCAATTCATTGAGTAGTGCACTTTTTTCCTGGATCAACTTGTTAATGTAACTTTCGAGAACGCTAAGTTTTGCTCGTAATTTCAATAGATCTCCTTCCAAAGTTCCTTCCTCGTAATGACAAGTGCCCACTTCTGCGCTGAGCGCCTGGAAATTATAAATAACATCTCCAGATTGTTCGACTGAGAGATTTTCGGAGCAATCGTTCGGACCGCTGTCTTCGCGTTCCTCACTGTGGCGAAAATTTCTATCAGTAATAAACAATCGAAAGTTGCTAGCTCTTCCTTGTCCTCTTCTACCGACATCGTTCTTTGCCTCCAAAGATCGACCCGAAAACTGAGTGCCCATCTTCATTTGGTCCGAGTAGTGTTTACTCCCAAGAGAAAGTCTGTATATGCCGGCTTCTCGTTCAGTTTTAATACTAGCTTGATTGTCTGTTGCAAACTCTTTATTCGTTTCAGCAGATAACTTTTCTTCATTCTCAGGCTTAGGTGGATGATCTTTGCCAACGGTAAAACGTTTGGATGTGCGAAACTTTCCAAGAGTGTTAGTGCTACTCTCTTTCTCAAAGTCTCTCGGCTTTGATTCACTGTCCAATTCACTTGACTTTCTACTTTTACTCAACGTTTCTCTATGATGCGTTTGGTGCTCCACACTTCTAGATTTGTCCCAAACGTGAAGGGTGTGAAAATCCAGTGAAAAGATTCTCTCGACATTGTCTTTTCTCTGACTTAATTCATTCGAAGACAAAAGTTTGTCTGAAAATTGTCGTACTTCGAGTTTTTCACAACCAGAAGATCCTCTAGACGAGTAGAACCCTCGAACGCTGGTTAGGTACTCTTTATTTCCTCTTACATCACTAATTTTCCTCTCGCCGCTTATTTCTCTTCGCGATTTTGTTTTATTACGAGCGGTTTCGCCGTCGCGAAAATTCACCAAAGCATTAACTTTGCAAACAATCTGAGCGTTTTCGTTGTCTGCATCTGATTTCATCAGTTTGATTGTTTCACCTGGCAACTCAACTTCATCACGGGTTATAATCTTCTTAATCTGGCTTTCTAGTTTGGAGGTGTGTTCCCGCACCTTTAACTGGACTTCTCCTTTTTCAGGATGAAAACCTATTTGCTGCTTTGAGCCCTTAAGGAGGAGTTCTAACACAGCAATTCTTTCCTCGACTTTTAAAATATGCTCTTGCAAAGCCAAATTTTGAACTTCCAAACTGTGGTGCGTACGCTCTGAATCCACTACTTTGCACCGAAAAGAAAGCAACTTGCCGTTCAAGTTATCTGTTTTATCGGCACACAGAATAATTTCCTCTTGAATTCGATTCTCTTTCATCAACGAGCCGCAGCAAGAAGCGTCCAGGAGCCGAACTTTTTTCGACACTTTAAACTCTGGACGGCCATTAAGGTCGACACTCCTTGGTGAAGTCGCCTCTCTCGCGAGGGCCTCAAGCTTCGCAATCTTCTTTTTCGCGCTCACCAACCTTTGCTCCAGCCTAAATGAAGTTGTGTATTTCATCATGAGGCTTACACGCAAACGACTGCACGATGTGTTTCAGCTTACGGGAAGAGATGTCAGGTCCGAAATAACTTTTCACGCCGCAAAATTAACAGCCTTGCGAATACAAAGAATTAATTTGCTTTTTCCTGGTTTCTTAAATTGCGGTTGCTGTATTTAACTATTTATGCTAATCCTCTTTGTCACTCTTTTCAGACGTTTACTTTCATGTGGTTTCTTGAGCGGTATCCCACCACTTTTGGCTGCTCGCAGTTTTATTCGTGGTCGGTTTCCTACCGTTTCTGTACCGCCAATCATTATTCATTGGTCTTTCCGTTATTCATGCGGTTTCTACGCTGATTGTCCGCTAATTCCTCGAAGGTAATCTCGGTTTATTGTCATTTGTTGGCTAAATGCGACATATTTAGCAGTTAACTCCCCGTCAGGCAAAATTTGCCTTCGCTCCAAGTACTTAATTGTCATGTTTTTGAAAAAATACTTGGCAATGCAGAATACTGAATTTACCTTCCTAGATTCCTGATTACATTTTGGTGAAGATTCTGCTTTAAGAAAATGAGATTGTTTTAGCAATTTGACGATAAGTGAAAAACTACACGTAAAGGGGAAAAGAAAGTTATAAGAATCATATGCCAACAGTTTGTTTAATTATGCACGAGAAATAAGTAAATATTGATACTACAAGTTTAATACATGCACAGGTGGACTGTTTTTCCATAGCTGTTTGCTACAAATCGGCAGTTAAGTATATTTTAAGTTATTGAGAAGCGTGCCTTTTTTGGAGCACAGTAAAACCCTTCACATGAGCGGGACACTGAGCCACGAACGTTTAGTATCGTAAAAAAGGATACCTAAAAATTTTGCTGAATATAGAAGGACAAACAGCAACTTTATACAATGGGCTAGGCCCAGCTCAGACATCAAACTGTTTTTTTGAGCCGAACTCATTTCGAACTTTGGCCGCTCTCTTGTACCTTATTGTTATGGTGGCGGGCGTCGGTGCAAAGCGGCTACCAACTGCCTCAAACTTCCAAAGATTATGCCTCCGAAATCTTTGGATGGCGATTCCGCGCGAGTCCCGAAGGTCTCACGTGCCAGTGACGGCAAAGGCCCTTTTAACCAATGTTGTGAAAAAGCGAAATTTAATTAAAAGAAGTCTCTTCCATCATTGTGGGACGATCATTTACTGCGCATGCGTTGTTCAAACAATAAAAAAATCTAAGCGATATTTCTATAATGGCAAAAGTTATAGAAAAGCTTTAAGTTCATTTTACTTCGAATGCACTGAAAAAAAATTCAACTTTTGTGGGCTCATTTTTTCGTAGCCTGCGGACACAGATCACGTGGAGAGAAGCGACGACCCGAAATACTTCTGTGTCCGCAGGCTAATTTTTTCGCTGACCCGGCGAATACCCGCTGGCCTTGAAAGATATAAGAACGATTAACAACTCAAATCAGTCAACGACTATTTGAATATTTTTCTCGTTGATCTCTTAGCCAACAAAGTAAAATATTTGGTCCCTTACGAATTTCAGGTTTAAAACATTTCTAACCTGCTCCTAGTTTCATTGCTGTGTCAATATCCCTGGCTGACGCATCCCCTGAGACAAAGAACAAAATGTTTAAGAACATGTTAAGTGTGTACTTGAAAGATAATATATGATAATGTTCATCTCTATCCCAATGGCAGCGAAATTGTTATGGGCAAAGGGTACAAGAGGAACCGCCGGGAGACCTTACCAGTCGTTTCGCTACAAAACATTTCGCCACAAATCGTTTCACTGCATATCGATTGCGTAGTTTCGCAGTAGATTCCCTTCGCATCAATTTGAAAAAACAAACAAAAAGCTTTGGTTTTGGTGATGTTGTTATAGATATATGTGAGCTTAAGACTTTAAAATAGTTTGTGTTAGCCAAGACTTGCATGAAACTTGAGGACTCTTAAAAGAGGCATTGGTTTGTTGCGCGGTTATCGAACTTCTTAAGTCCAAGACTTTCTTGGTGTGTGCAGCGGAGAGCTACATTCATGACACCAAAGAGAGATGGAACGAGCTTCTTTTACTTCCGCTGCATTCTCCATTTCTGTATTCAACCCTTCTTGTCGATACTTTCTGCGTTGGATAGTTGGTAGATCGGACAATGGACTAACAGTAAAGGAAAGTACGGTATGTCTTTGAAGCGACTCAACTTCTATTATGAGGACAGTCTATTTCTTGGCGTGTGCCAGGCTCTCAGTCAGTGCAGACGAGTCAAAAAGGCGGGCCAGCAGTGAAAAGTGCCCTGTGGTTTTCGCGCACCTTCTCTCGATGCGCTCGACCAAGCTACGAAACGACCGCACACTCCAGGAGAGTCTCTGAGCACTAACTCTTACTCTTGATTCTGATTGGACAGGAAATATTTTCTGCCCAATCAGATGCAGAGAATTGACACGGTAAGGGCAAGTGTCCACTGAATATGCCATCCCCAATCTCAGCCCCAGGCTGTTCGAAAATGTATTTAATAACCCCTAACTTCCGTTCTAGAAACTTCCACACCCATTTTGCATTGCAAAAATATTCAGCATCCCAGTCTAATGAGTCTTTTTTCGCCTTAGTTTTCCCTTAACAACAAAACAAAAGCTTATCGAAAATCCTTAAAATATTCGATGCCCCGTGTCACATACCATCCACATGTTAAGGGTAACTATGGTAACCTCGACAACAGCTATGCCCTTTTACGAAGCCAGCTGCTCCAGTGTTGTCCTGTAGGATTAACTTCTACATGTAGTTTGCTACTTAAAGGAACATAATTTGAAATGTAACAAATGAAACCTTGTCAGACTGGGCATACCCGTGTGGTAGTTGACGTTAAAGGGTTTCTAACTTTTTCGGTTTTCTCCACAATCCACAAACTAACTGAAACTAGTCAGTTCTGCCGGTTCATACCTCTCTCAAGCATTCTGACAGCTTCCATTATGTACGGCACAAGCAAACGATTCACAACAAAACCTGGTGTATCCTATAAAGAGACAAAATTAATTTTATTAACCATTAAAAGATATTTTAGTGTGCATAATAAAAAAAAAAGATAATATTATGTTATTTTTTTGGTGGCATTAAAACTAAACATACTTAGGGAGCAAAGATGTTGCAATGGTGAGAGCTCTAGCTGCTTCCATGAAAGCACCCAGTATGAAGGCTAGTATTATATGTACAACCATCCCCCAAAGGGGAGGTGAATAGTGCTTAAATTTACCGAGACCCGAAGTGTCGAGTTATATATCTAGCGCTATGAACCGACCCTGAGGGGGATAGTTGTTTTTGTATTTACCAAATCAGTTGGATAAAAATCAAAGAGGAACTTTTTGTAAATAAAAAACGTCACTTTGTTAGAGTTTGTTTACGTACGTTTCAACTAACAGTGTTTCGGGGATCATTTTTTCTTATGATTTTGTTGCAACTTCAGTGAGAAAATTTTTTTCTACCGACCAGTAAACAGCGACAAGCCAAATTTTGTCTCTTTCTTGGTATTTTTTGGCACAGCTGCTTCAGTTACCACTAAGATTTCATCTTTCGAAACTGTCGCGAAACAAGAAGCCACTTTAAATCTCAACCCAAAACAGTGAATGTCCAAGGATATTCCGAGTTACGGGAGCCAATCAGTACACTCGGAAATTGCTATCCACTGATTTGGTGAATACTAATACGCAATATTTTAAGCTTGTTGTAGGTTGTTGGCGGCCTTCCCTACTCCCAGGGGTATTTTCTGGCAATCTTCTTCTCAAAAAACAAAATTTATACTTAAAAATTCTAATTTAATCAGGGACGTGGTAGACAAAGAATCGATCGCCTTGTGGATGCGCTTACCTCTAAATAATTTTGTCTAAAATGTAACCTCTATATAGCAAAGGGGCAAGGGACTGGCAAAATTTGTTCCCTATAACGAGGTTTCGTTATATCGCGGTTCTTTTTCATATCTTTTAGTATTACTGGGGTAAAAGAAGTCGTTTTCTATAGAGGTTCATTAAATCCAGGTTCCACTGTATTTATCTACTTAATATTTAATTACTTATTTATTTACTTTACACTCTGCAATAAGGTATCAAATTTTAAATCAGAACTGAAATAGGATAAGGGAAAATCTGAACAGGGTACAGGATGGTTGTTAGATGAATATCATACTACACATCCACGCCCACTTTTGCGGTACTTGCAAATGTATTACCCTCTTCCCCTCCTTCTTTCTTCCACTTGACTAGGACTTCTGGAGACCCTCATTTTGTCCATTTTTAGAGGCGTCTGCTTAATGCAGTTTTATCTTAAAGTAAATACCCAGAGAAGAATTTGACACTGAGGCTTGTGAATGTCAGGGCAAGGACTACACCCCCACCAGCAATTCCGATAACCCTCCTTTCCTTCTACTTTCCCACACTAGGCCAGGGGCGGATCTAGGGGGAGGATGCAGGGGGCGCACACCCCCCCCCCCCCCCGCGAAACCCCGGTGTTCGACTATATCACAGCAATTTTTAAAAAAAAAAAAGACGAGTTCCCAGTATGCTGGATGCTGCGCGGAGGAGCCGAAGACACTCCACAACTCAACATATTTTGTTTAAATGCGTTTTTTTATAAAACAAAAAACCAGGAAAAAATTTTGCCCTGGGGGTTTTGAATGTCAGGGGAAGGGATCCCCCCCCCCCCACCATTTTTATAACCCCCCTTTCCCTCTCCTTTCCCCCCCCGGGCCAGGGGGGGGTTGTGGGGGGGGGGGGGGGGGGGGCCCCCCCCCCCCCCCCCCGAGATGACCCGCGGTTTTCTAATACAACTGGTATTTTGCAAAAAAAAAAAAAACTGTGTGGTTCATTGGTGTTGAAGTAGAGCAAGAGACGAGTGCACCCCCTACTAAAAAAAATCCTGGATCCGCCCCTGTAGGCCCTCTGGAGGGCCTTACTTTATCCACTCTTAGAGGTGTCTTCTTAATACAGTTTTATCCTTTAGAAATTACCCAGAGAGAAATAATATTTGAGATTGAGGCTTGTGAACGTCAGGGCAAGGACTACTATGTCAAAACTTTACCCACAATTCTGGTGATACCCATCTTTCTTCCTTCTTCCCCACACTAGGCCCATTGGAGACCCTCACTCAGAGAAAGGTTTGTGACTGAGGTTCCTGAATATCAGGGCAAGGACTACAAAATGTATCGATGCAGCAGTCATTAGAACAGCTCAGGTAACTGGAACATTGGGTGGGCAACCAAAACATTAGTTGATGAATTAAAAAATAAAATTGTGGACAAACCTTGCAAGACACAGGTACTTTGCCAAGTTCTTTGCTAAACTGGAACAGGGCATCAAAAGTGTCATCTGTTGTTTCTGGGGTTCGTACAACCTACCAAGATACATAATTACACAAAAAAGGAGATCAGCTGAAAATAAACTGCATGCTCATCAAAGGACCATTTGCATACAATGAAAGTTTACAACACCCAACCATCGCAGTTTTGCTGATAAAGATTCTTATTTTTTTGGCCACTCAGTTGTGTTCACTTGTTCTAAAGTAATCAACACTTTCAGGCGATAGAATTCATGGACTGACACATTTCGAAAGCTCTAAATTTAATCTTTCCTAAGCTTTCTTTGCAAAACATGCATAGCTTCGGTTACGCAAGGATTATTCCAAGTTTCCCACGGTCTCCGCTAGGAACGCCTGGCACAATGACACACCTTTTGTGCCATAAATACGAAGAAAAATGGCTTGCAGATTATGAGTCTCGCTGCTTACCCAAGCGAGACTAATTACCCTAACAAAAAAAATGGGAAATAAAATTTAAGCAAAGGATAAAAGAATCGCTACCAGCTGTGGTGTGAGAGAATAAAAATGTTATATGCCTTCCCTAACCCTAAAATCAAACAAGAACGTGTATGCAGCCATGTACCTCTACCAACTTCATCATAGGGACAGGATTAAAAAAGTGAAGTCCACCAAACTTGTCCTTCCTTTTTGTAACACTTGCTATCTCTCTTATTGGTAAAGAGGAGGTGTTGGATGCAAAGATAGTGTGACTGCAAAAAACAAACAAACAAATGCCTTAAGTATCCACCACTAGATGGACATTTCAAATTGACAGTGAAAAGTGACATTAATTTTGAATAAATACATTCTGTATATGAAAACCGCACTTGCCAAGCCAGGCGAGTGATCCTTGATTTGTACTCGCCTGATGGTTTTGGAACTCACCTGCTGGGCAAGAGGGTAAGTGCCAATGTCCAACCCTGGGTACCCCTTTCACATATACCTAGTTTGGATTAACTTTACGTCTCTTTTACAGTCAAGCAGGTCAAGTGTTCCCGACGCTAACAAACTAAAGAATTCATTAATGGGAAAATGATTTCATTTGTTGATTCAAAAAATCCATTCATAAATACCTGGGTGCAGCATTGTCAAGGTCTGTGAAGAGCTTATGTTTAGTACGCATGTTTTCCACTATGGCCTCTATTAACAGATCTGTGTCAGCAATTGCAGTATTGGGTTCTGTGGTGATTGTTATCCTAGCCAGGGTATCAGCTACAAATTTGTTTCCACCCTAGAATGGAAAGCAGTTATAGACCATTACTGACCTCAAAGATAAGGACATCTGACACAATTATGGCAAAAAGAAGAAGGCTGTTCAGATGTCTATAACACTGAGCAAAGACATGATGTATCATATTTATTCGATTAAGCACCCAACCTCAAATAAGCGTCCACCTTGAATAAGTGCCCACCCCTGTCCCCCTTCTCCCTCCAAAAAATCAAGTTTACTGCACAAGGTGATTGAAATAGATTACATATATATGTACTTCTAAGAGACTTCCAGGCAGGCCAAGGTTTCTTAATATTTTAAAAAACACTTTAATGAACATTAATTACTGTTAATATTCTTGTTTGGTACATCTTTGCACATTTTGTTATCATTTATTGTTTTGTTGCAAAATAAAATCACTGACTACTAGCTGAAAAGTTTGAAATTTAATAAGCGCCCAGCCTTGAAAAAGTGCCCACTCTCAAGGTACAAAAATTAAATAAGCACCCAGGGTGCTTAATCGGATAAATACGGTAACAACACATCTTATTTAAATGTGGACTCTTAAGACAATCTCATTACTGGCACCTCTATTGGACTTATAACAAAATTCTTTAGCTGTAATTAATTATATGCCATGCATAATCAATCAATCAATCTTCAGCTTCGAAGGGTAAATAAGTAGATGGACAGTATGTGCCACATTATTGAGTGCACACACTTACCCTGTGTGTTTTTTTTTCACTTATAGCAAAATATTCTCAATAGATCTATAAAGATGAAATGGTAACGTAACATTGAGTTTTCCAACTGTGATGTAACCATACTGAGGGTTAATAGAGTTCTGTGGTATTATATTAACAATGTTCAGTGGGTAAAAATTATAAATAGGTACCAGCGCCCATCGCCTGTTGATCATTTTAATTTTTACCCACCTCTGTGTCATCCTTGAACTTTTTCTTTGCAACTCTGTCCAAGCTTTTCTCGATGGATCTCATAGATTTTGTCAAAATTGCATTTGTTTGATCCACCATCGTCACTTGATGATTTGTGGCTGCAGCAACCTAATAAACCATTGGCAGGATTAGCTCTTAGTTGATAGAAGGGTGGGGGTTCTTGGTTTGATCCCTGGTAAACAAAAAAAACTTTTTCAATGGTTTCATCGATAAATTCGAGTCAAGCAGACACAGCATTACCTGTTAAAACTTCCAAACCGAATTTCATCACCTTCTTCATGTATTTTGTTTGTTACAGCAGCAAACTGGAAAGCCAATTTGCTCATAACTTAACATGAGTTTGGTGTTGCTCGCTCGGTGGAGCTGGAGGTAAATAAATGAATAGCGATGGATATCCTGAGCTTGATTAGCTAATCAGAGTGTGTGAAAAACACTATCCACTGTTTTAGTATCATATACTAATCACTGATATTTGGTGACTGACATCAATAACGGTATAAATATTCTAAATATATTTCAAAGTTAGTATTAAACTACCAGCCGGTCATGAAGAACTAGTCAGGATATTTGAACCAATCAGAAACAGAAAGAATATTTAAAGCTTAAATGAACAATAATATAAACTTAATAATTATCGTTAAAAATTAATGGCACTCCGATGATATTCATATATATTTCATTATCTGTAAAAGAAGATGCACGATTAGTATTATTATTACTACTTATTCATAAAAGCCATACGTGACATTTAATAAACAACTAAATTCTTCGATCAAATCAAAGATCAAGTTGTTAAAAGCTAAAAATATTTTCATTCGAACCTGAGCAATCCCAGCTCCCATGAGACCGCTTCCAATGACCATAACATTCTTTATAGCACTTTGACTAGAAGACGTGCTGAAGAACGCCGAAATAGCAGCCAAGTTTTTCCGCAATAATGGATGTCTCAGAGGCTGAGCAGATGATAGTTTTGAGGCTGCACAGTGGAAAAGAAAAGCCATGTTTCCAGTCACGCACAACTCGATGAATGGAAGAGGGAAAAGTAGAGAGGGATTGGAGACTAATGGCCAATGTCCATTTTTGGCACAGTAGTGCAGTCAAGGGAAATCCATTTTTCTATTACACCTAAAATTAAATTGACTCGTGGACCAAAAAAAAGAAGGAAAAAACAGGCATGACGATACATGACTAGAATCAGACTTACCGTAACCAACAGGAACCGTTATCAAAATGCACTGTTGTCTGCAGTTGAGAGTGTTACTAAGTGCTTCTGTGATCTGATACAGCGATATTTGGCGGGCCCGCGGTCTTTTCGACCAATCGCAAGCACACAGCACGTACCATGTATGACAAAACAAACATTCGTTTATTAGCTTTGTATCCGTTTCTCAGGTAGGTGAAATATTTTCTAATTTTTCTGTTCAAGCTCTTGTTCTTTCCACAGCAGGTTGCTATGGAGTGTCTCGGTTCTTTTTCTTAACTTCTTTTTTTTGCAGGGGGCTGGCGGTGGGGAGGGGGGGGGGGGGGGGCTTTGGCCCGGGCTTGGTTTCCTTGGGGGTTAGTGGGGGTTTGTCAAAAGGGGGCAGAAGGCGGAAACCGGTGGAAAACCCCCTGTAGGTCCTCCCCCCATTTCCCTCTTACACCCGTGTAGAAAAGATTATAAAAAGTTTTTTTTTCCCTTTACTTTCTTAAACTACGGGTCTTGCA